TCCTTAGTGGTTATGGAGTTAAGAAAGAAGAAGAAAAAAACCCCAAGATCTTCACAATTTAAAAAGTGCACTTGTATGAAGTTCCCTACATCCATGAAAAAATGAATTTTCCCAATTATTTTCTAGAATCTTCAATGGCTTTTCCTTTCTTGAAATTTCATTTTCAGTTCTCTTAACCTGAAAATAAATTGTAAATCTTTGACTTTTACAATGAAATTTTGAAATTTGCTAAAAACCCCAGGTTGCTTTGAACCAATAGAAAGAAAAGTAAAAGTGTTTGAATCTATTTCAACTCAAACTCACACTACATATAAAAAGCTAATCCAGAGCCCATCCATCACTGAGTGGGTATATGAAAAAACAGAAAAGCAGGTTCTCTGTTTGCCTGAAAAGAAATAAATCTTTAATATTAAACTTCCAGCACAGAGTGAACATCCCAGTGACTGTGCTTGTCTTTTGAAATACCAGGGTTCACATGGGGACATGCAAGGGCACAGCTGGCAGCAGCTGGGAAAGAAGAAACCTCTGGCAGAGATCACATCCCCCAGGCAGAGCTTTGCAGAAAAAATCCCAACAAAAATTTTACATTGAATGCTGCCCTGCAGGTTCTGTAAGATTTTTTCATGACACAGGACATACATTTTCTTCTCTTTCATCCAGTGTACTTTTCATCTCTTCACCTGTCTTTGCCATTTTCTCCTTCAAAGACTCCAGTTCATTTCTAAGTGCCAAATTAACAAGCATTAGTAAATATTTCCTTATTGCCTTTAACTTATTTTCAGTACTTCTAACAAACCCATATTTTATTTTCTGAAAAGAGCTGCTAATGTTGATGGGAACTTCATAAGCTGCTCAATGAAAATGTTCTTAAAATGCAGCCACATGCCCAGTAAGTCAATATGTGAACTGTCCATACTTCTTGTAAGTAGGAAAAGATGTTCCAGGAGCCCAAGGAAGATACATCCTGACCTGGACTATTGCAATGCAGCTGTGAAACATGGGAGCTGCCTGTCTGTTGAACTGGGGATACAGAGAGTAACTCTGATCCAGTTTTGCCTTGTCACATTTCATCCACAACCTTCAGCTTCCATTTGAATTTCCTTCACACCTGAGATGTCTAATGCAAAACAAGACAGCTCCTACTATGGAATACAAAATGATGGCAAACATTGTTCCTGCTGCAATTGGTATTTCTATCTGAGAAAATTTCTACTTGGCCAACAGCAATTCTGAATAGTTTCTGTTTAGCTATGTAATCTAAAAAAACATTAATCAAAAAATCCCAGAAAGCAACATTTGAACACAACTAACTATTTCAGTCTACTTCCTTTAGCAATATCAGTTATTAATATTTGGTTTTACTTGCCTTAGCTGGCTATTTACCTCTTCTAGATTTTCAACTAACTGCTTTGTATTGTCTTCTTTTTTCTTACTATCCTAAACAAAGACCCTTGTGTCAGCAAAGAAATAAAATTCAAAGTGACTTCTTAAAAAATTCAAAGCCATCCAAAGCACACAGACCTGCCTTGTTCACAAGTGTAAATACACTTCCTTTCCAATTCAAACACAAAAAAATTTGCTCAGGTGCTCTACAGATCCAAGTCATGTTGCAGCTCATCATCTAATTTGTAAAACTGAGTCATTTGCCAAATTGAGTGTTGTCCTTTCAAGAAAGCTGGAAGTTTACAACTTGCCTCTTGTTGTTCTTGCAGCTTCTGGAGTTCTGCAGCCACAGCATTTTTCTCTTTTGCTGTTTGTTCTTTCTCTAGTGAAAGCTTACTGAGATACACTGTTAGCTGTTCATTCTTTAACCTAATTTAAAACAAATGGCCAAGAGGAATAAGAAGATGCATTTTGAAATCTCCTTTTAAATTAAAAATACCCATTATCAAGTGTTATTCCAGCTGAAAGAAGTCCAGGCCTTTATCTACAAATATAAGCTTTGCAGCAGAGTCAGAGAGATGTAAGAAGGTGACAGAAGAAGGAAAGAAAATCAGAGTCAACTTTTATATATATATAATGGTTAGTGAAGATTATGTATTTTAAAGCAAGATTAACAATGAATTCAGAAACTTTCTCTTCTTGTTAAATAAGTGAAAGAACAACTACATATGCCATAGAATACACATAAATAGAAAAGTGGAATTTAGAAATGTAAGTATATAATTAATGGCATATATGTGGTTCAAAATTTCCATTAGAAAACAATCATAGTTCATTTCACTGTGGATTAAAGCAACTTCTATATTACACCAAAACTAATGAAATATACCATTTTCAAAATGGTCATATGCCTCTTGTTCAAGATCTGTTTTCAGAGTCACAAGCTGCTTTAAATAATCTTGTTCCTTCTTAGCTGTTCTTGTCAGCTGTGCTTTCAAACCATGGAATTCTTTCTGCAAAATGAAAAGGAAGAGTTTTGAGTTCCCATGTGCAAACTCCAACTGCTGGAGGTCATCAGACATGAACTAAGAGCACAAGGCTTTCAGAAGAACCCAACAACATCCATGCCATGGAACATCCAGATTGGATCTTTCCAGTCTCTGCTGGGATCTGGAAGTGGTGTGAGATAGCGAACTGTGACACCAGTGCTGTTCATGTCTGTCCCCTGCTGTGAGGTTCATTACCTGGGCTGCAAAATTCGAGTGGGACCCTGCTCTGGGTGCTGTTTCTTATGTATAAACTTGTATCCAAGTCATGATGTGTAACTTCACTATTTCTAAAAACATGTAACTGTTGCCTTTCTTCAGACCTCTCTCATTTGGAGAGCATTTTCATTTCTCTCTCCAAATGTTTCTCTCTCTGCAAATTTTCTGTACTAGCCTCAAGATTCTTCTTCAGTAAAAGTGCTCCAATTTACCCATTTTAGAAAATGAGTGAAACTCAGTTCAGAACACTCAATGCACAGATTATAACAACAAGCAGACACAGTAAAATGCACACCTGATTTCACACTATCTTAACTTTAGTTGATATGGATTCTTGTTAGGCTTGTAAATATAAAATCATAATGAAAATAAACCTCTGTTAAGAGTGTATTTCATATAGCTTAGACTTCTGTGACAGAAAATGGGCCTGTGTCACAGCACAGCAGGGTTCACAGAGGCCAGAGCTAATTACCTTCCTGGAAGGAAGGAAAAATGGGAAAACTTTATATCCAGAGGGAGTGGCATTTGAATGGGCATGAACAAAGAAGGAAATAACCAAAAACCTTGAGAAGGAAAACCAAAAACATGGGAGACAAGAAAAACCAAAAGCACAGGAGACAAGAAAAACAGAGGCAATAAAGAATTCTTCAAAGAAAACACTGAAATTGTGTGTGAGAAAGTTTAGTAGAAATGTTAAGGTAGACTGGATGGAGTTTACTTATGACATTTAAGATACTTACAAAGCAAGAGGAATTTCATATGAAGAGCAAATGCCATGAGATTAATAAAATGAACATTTACCAGAGTTTCTGACAGCTCTTCAAGTTGCACTTCTTTGTCACATTTTACTTTTGTCATCTCTTCTACAGCACATGAAATGTAAAATTATTGGAAGAGAAATGATTTTTCATATTTAGCAGGCAGTATAAAACATTTACCCTTTTGCAATACCCAGTTCTCAAAACTTGTTGGATTAAGTTAAGAAACTGAAAAGCTAATTTATGACTTAATCTAAATGTAGACTTGAGAAAATGATTCAGACATTAGCAAATCTATATCTGAAGAGAAACTAAATATTTATCTTAAATAAAATTTAGAGCCTATTATGTTTTCCACAAATATAGCTTCAAGTAAACCATGGACTGTAAGACTAGAGTATTCTCCAAGTATTGATGCACCTGCATTGTTCCAGAAAAAAAATATGAACTGCTGAAGGTATCACATAGATATGCTGGGAAAGGAAACCAGTTGTTACTAACTTCCAAATGGTTTCTATGTGCACATCCACAATTCTGGGATTTTTTGCAAGTTCTCAACAGCAAGGCAGAGCTCTTACTCTGGGGACTAAGGAGCACATCCCTAGAAACCACAGGATATCAAATTGATGATATTTAAAAACAACCCCTGCCAGCATCATTGCACTTCCAGCATGGGGAGGGTCACAGAAACCTCCATGGGAGGTTTTGTCTCTGCTGCACAAGTCACTACTGGCACCTGCAGTGCTGCTGCTCTGAGCTGCAAACCAAAATTACCTCCAGAAGAATTCATGCATGAATGGTCTGACTATTGGAGCTGTGCATAGCACTGCCCTTTGGCTGCTGCCAGCACCAATGACCCCCAAAGAAAAGGGATCAGCTGAGTAAAAATAAATCCAGGCATTCCTGACAGGTACAGGCACTGTAAAATCATTTCTCCAGCTATCAGAGACAGTCCATTTCCAGAAAAGAGCAGAAAACATTTTTATTACTGCCCAGCTCATTTTCTGCCTTTCTACAAGCCTTACCCAGTTCAGCAGATTTATTCTGGAGCTCCAAGGTAAGCAGCTTTGAATCATCTTCAGATTTCTTTAATCTAAGGAAATGGTAAATGAAAAATCCCAAATGTAGGGTACAAAGCACTGCATTTGAAACTTACAGGACAATAAGACAAAGTCTTAGCACAAGCACTTTAAGAACATTTATCTTTCAACAGGCAGGTGATAGATCTGCCTGCAACACACATCAAATTTCACTTTTAAAACCTCAGAACAGTAGACATAAAAGTAAACAAATATATACCTACAGAAATCTGTATTTCTTAAAGACAGAATTATGAAAGTTGGAGGGGGCAAAAGATTACTTTTTATACAGTATCAACTATCACAAACAAAAAAAAATACATTAAATTCTCTGCATTTAGACCACTGTGTGAAAAAAATTTCAGCTTCATTTCCAATTGTTATTGATTTCGTCATAGACTGCAACCTGTAAGATCACTCTTGGAATTTAAACTCATTAATTTACCTATTTTGTTCTTCTTGCAGCAAGCTTTTCAAATTGGCAACAGAAGTCTCAAACTCCTCTGTCAGGGCTGCAAGCAAAGCCTTCATTTTTTTACATTCTTCCTCCTGCTCTTCCTTTTCTCCAGTGACCTGAATTAATGTTTTCACTGTAGTCTGGAATTCAGTTTCCAAGTTCTTCTGAGTAACCTTCAAGACATGATATCATTTCTAAACATGTTTTGCAACAAAGAGCTACAGCTGTTTCATGTCTAAAGTATCCATAATTACTTATGCAAATACTCATCTAGTCTATTTGTACTGTAAAACTATAAGCAAGGGGTACCTCTGCCTTTTGCAATGAAATTTTAGCCTCTTCCAGCTCTGCCCTCAAATGTTCTTTACTGCCCTGGGATTCCTTTAACATTTCTTCATTATGTACTAAGCAAAAAAAGATGTTTATATTTTTAAAAATAGGATTATTTACTAAAAAATGCTGCTAAAAATGGAAAATTACATACATTTAAAGAATGCAACAAAGACCAATGGTACTGACATCATATACTACAAAATAATAGATGAAATTAAAATATAGATGGCTTAAAAATATTGAAAATCAAGTTCTGAAAAGTAAGTTTCCTCAGTGACATGTGCCTGACGGTACATTTGCAAAACTGAAGCAACATATTTTCCCCTTGCAATTTTCAAGAGCTCTCAATGCTTGACTCACCCTAAAAACTGCCCTGCCAGTCCTGCTCCCACATGAGCAGCTCCTGCTCCAAACAAAAATAAGGCCCTCAAGGCCCCAAAATTCTGCTGCCAACCAGCAACAGAATAAGACTATCATGGCCCTGTTTCCTACGCTTCTATAAACAATTACATATAATAAATAAAGATTCATAAACAATTACATTTCAATTCTATAAACAATTACATTTAAACACAGCAGGCAGAACTCTTACATTTTGCTTCCATTAAGTCAGCAATCTTATTTTGTGACGTCTGCAGCTGAGCCTTGATGTCTTTTATGACATCATCTTTTTCATCTCTCTGTATGGTAAGAGCTGAAATCTAGAAAAATGCAAGAAATATCATCATGAAGTCTGGAGAAGGGACAGATATTAATTTTCATTTTTACCCAGGTATGATAAGCAGACATTTTGCTGTCATTCAAGATAGATAGATAGATAGATAGATAGATAGATAGACAGACAGACAGATAGATAATATTTGTCTAGATATAATCTTAGCCAAATATTGATCAAGTCACATTACTCTAAACAAAAAAGTTCTCCAATTCAAAATCAAACCATAAATTCCAGTAGACTAAAGGGACTGAAACACCACTAAACTTAGAAGAATTTGACTTAAATGCAGCTTCAGATGTTATTTTGTCTTTTTTACTAATACCCAGAAACACTTCTTGGCTCTTGCATTGCCCCATTAGTTCCAAATAAAGCTCTACATCTTAGATGGTAAAATGAGCAAACCTGCTTTTCCTTTTGACTGACTTCCAGTCTGCATTCTTTTTCAAACTTGTCCACTTTTTCTGCTTCTTCTTTTACTTTGGAGATACAGTAACATCCATAGTTAACATTCTAGCTGAAATAAACTCCAAGCTCAATACAACTTCCAGTTTAAGGTTGCCTGGAATTGTACAGCTGTACCATTTGTTTCCCAAGAGTAATTGTTGAGGCAATGTTTGATTTTATAATGAAAATACAAACAGAAAAGAGCATGTGAGAATGAAACAGGAACATAGCAGGCTATACATACAGAGAGAGAGCATTTAGCTAAAGTTTCTGTAGCTATACACTTGTGCATTTGTCGGAGAATGACTTAAAGAAAAGGCCATGAGACATAAAATTGAGAGAAAAGTATAAGGGAAAAGTAAGGCCGTTTCTAACAGTTCTCAGCCTTCTGACTTGTATAAACAATTAGACTCTCTCAGGCATCATTCTATAAACAATGGAGTTCTCAGATTGTCTTCCCATAACAAGTAGAACACCGTCTCTGGGAAGGCCTGCCATCCTGAGAACAGATGTAGAAGTTTTGGGAATACTGGTTTCTGTTTTAGTTTCTGGTTTCTGTTTTGGTTTCTGTTTTTAATAAACAATTGTAGGTATTCTAAAACAAAGGGAGTGGTTAGAAGTTTCTCTGTTAGCCTATCATGACATTGGATTACAGAATATTCATGGCGTTCGTTAGCACTGTTATTTAAGGTGATTGATTGATCAATAAAGTTGGAGTTCGATGCATTACCAGGATGGTCGTTCTCCCCTTCACTTCAATATATGGTGACCTCCGACCGTGATAGCGAACACCACGGGGAAGCGAACGCCACGCGAAGTGAAGACAGGTTCGGGTTCCGTAAGATCGAAACTGCAGCCGGAACGGCGAAGAAGCGCGGAGGACAAAGCGGAGGGTAACCCGCCGGCCCGCGCCGCGCTGCGAGCGACTATACAGATAGGCTCGTCCGAGACATGCGGCCGCGACCTTGATTTGAAGAGCTGCAACGTGCGCACATAGGTATGGAAAGGCAAGCCGCATATGAACTTTTTATTACCCTTTTGCAAAAACGGCAAATTAAGGGAATAGATTTACAGAAAGAGTTACCAGGCCTTTTAGCGTATGGCCTAGAAAAGGGGATCTTTATAAATCCTCACACAGTTCACGAATTGTCTGAGTGGCGTAAATTTGGTGATTTATTGTGGCAGGCTACGTTAGATGATGATAAAACTGCTAAGAAGTGGGGTAAATTATGGCGGGTCGTTAACACTGAGCTTTTGCAAATTCAAGCTGAAAAAAGGGCTGCTTATCAAGCCACTGCTGCCCACGATCGTAACAAACATTACGATCAAGATAGGGAATTTGATAAGAACGCGGGAACTCCTCTTGGCCCCGCAACGCGGACAGTTTTATTACCTGCCTCACCACCTTCTTCGGAAAGCCAGGCTATGAGTCATACTATGAGCCAGGCGCAGTCCGCCTCGCTGCCCGCCGAGCAGCCCCCCTTAACGGGCCAGCCTACAAGCCCAGCTACGAGCCAGCCTACAAACCAGGCTACGCAGACTGCTTTAGTACCCGCATCGCAGCCCCCCCTAACGAGCCAAGCTCCGCGGGGTGCCCTGTTGTCTGCTTTGCCGCAGGCTACACAGAGCACCTCTGACTCTCCCGTACCTGCTGCGTCTCAGCAGCTGGGGCCAAATACGTGTACTCCGTTCCCGATAAGCGATCAGCCGGTCCCTGGGTCGGAAATCGGCTTGGCGGCGGCGATTGCGAGGGAAAGACGGGACGCGTGGGCTGCCCTGGCCAAAGATGCAATTGACAAGGGAGATCAAGAGCTGATAAGTTCGGCTCGAGAATTGGCTTGTCCGGTTGTCTTTAACCCCCAGCCTGGAGGAGGTTTTCAAGCCACAATTAGCGCTCTTGACTGGAAGCTGTTATCTCAGTTGCGAGCTACTGTTAGTCAGTTTGGCTTTAAAAGTGAACCAGCTAAGCAAATGCTCGATTATATTTTTGACACCAGTATCCTTCTTGTTAATGATTGTCGTGGGATAGTTAAATTAATTTTTACTCAACATCAACAATTGCTGTTTAACGCCCACTGGCAAGCTTTAGCTAATGAGTGTGTGGCAGTTCAAAGACAGCCGGGGGATCCCTTGCATGGTATCACTATTAATGAGCTTATGGGGCTGGGACCTTTTCTTCGTACTGAGGCACAAGCCTTAATAGGCCAAGAAAAGTGCCGGGAGGCAATGCGGTTAGTCAGACTCGCGATAGATATGGTGAAGGAACCAGGAGGGATACCAGTGTATATGGGAATTAAGCAAGGCAAAGATGAGACATTTGGCGCTTTTGTTGATAGAGCTGCGGCGGCAATTGAGAGAGCCGGAGTAGCGGAATTTATGCGCGGGGCTCTCCTCAAACAGTGTTGTATTCAAAACTGTAACTCTGCTACTAGAAACATACTTAACACCTTAGGTGCAAATTGGACTATCGAGGAAGCATTAGAAAGGATGGCTCTCATTCCCACTGGCCAGCAGGCTTTTGTGGTAGATGCACTTAAACAGATAGCAGTAGGCTTGCAAGAACAGGCAAAGTCCTCTCAGAATCAGGTATTAGCCGCTTTTGCACCTCTTCAAACGTCCGCTGCGTTTGCAACATCAAATAAAGAGGGCCGCACGAAATGCTGCGAAGGCACGGGCCGCTTGCGCCGGGAATGCCAAGCACCAACAGAAGTCATCGCTGCATCATCGGTACCTTTTCCTGCCCCTAATCCCCCGCAACAGGAAGCCTTCAACCCGACACCACAGGAAGCCACCGCGGGCGAAGCTGAACCGCTGCGAAGGGAGTGACCCGCAGCGCAAAGCAGAGATGAATTGGCAAAAGGACTTAACAGGACTTTGGACTTATAGTTACGGTAAAGGGATTTTCCATATGGTTTACGGATTAATGGAAATGTGTGAATTCGGTGATTTATGGTAGAATTGCAGTGCTGTGCTACTCCGAACTTGGCATGGGCGCGCCGGAGGCAGCGGCGGGAAGATCAAAAGCCGCCGCCGCAGGAGCCGAGCCGCGCCGCCCCCGAGAGCGGAGCCGCCGCCGCAGAAACCAAGCCGTGCCACCCCGAGAGCCGCGCCGAAAGTGAACAAAGAGCGCCGCGGGGGGAGCGACCGGAGCCGCATCGCCCTCATGTGTGAACTGGGGGCCAGATGTCCACGGGCGGCCAGTTGCTGCTTGGGAACAGTGACTGGACATCAGAGAGCAAGTGATGGAGGAGCAATCATGCTGTGCATTGATAGTTTTCGTCCTGCTGTTTAGATCGACCAACATCTTTTCTGGGCTCTGATGAGTGTCCAGCGCCATCCATTTTCAGGGCTAGTTACACACTCCTTAGCGGATTCCGACTTCAGAGTGCTTTTTCGAGCGGTAGCGTTTCTCCCTCTGCCCCGTAGCCGGCAAAAGCTACAGTTTAAGATCTAACAGCCGTAATAACTGTGACTCTTGTCAACAAAAGAAAAGATTCCTATTGCAATTAAAAGACTAGTGAAACTAAACAAACAACACCAAGGACTATTGCTGTCAGGATGTTTTTCACCTAAGTTAGTAAAGATCTTTTGTTCTCCCCAGCACAGACTGTAAAGCAGAAATCAGCGTAAAGGCCGATTTGGCTCGGCATTGGTTATGCTGTCTTGGAAACATCTGTATTACCACAGACTTTGAACATCAGAAGCCCGGATGGCTGGGCCGGTGGAACATTAGACTTTAAAGCTGTGCTTTGAAAAGTTTAAAAATGTTGAGATGTGTTGGATTGATTGTATGAGTGAGATGTTGTGAGTGTGTTTTTTGGTATAAATGCTGCAGCAAAAAAACGTGAGAAAGGTTGTTTTGGTTGAGTGTTTTGGAATCGGGCCCGTGAGTGAGTTATAGTGAATGCCATATATTATTTCTATAGTAAGTTTTATCTGTTATTAAGTAGTTTAAGTTGGGTTATCAATTAAGTGCCATTAAATGTTAAGGTTAAGTTTGTTGAGCTTGTTTTCGGTTGGGTTCGAGGTCTGCTAAGTTTAAATTATATATAGGTTTGAGTTGTGTGGGATTTGAAGAAAATTAATTTTTGCTAAGTATTATTAAGTAAGTTAAGTTAGATTCTGTTAAGTTTGAATTAGATTTAAGTGATTTTACATGATTTGCAAATAAGTCTGTTAAGTTAAATATTTTAAGTGCCTTAAATGCATACTATCTTTTCACCACTCCAAATTAACAAAGGACTGAGAATCTCCCAGTTGATGCCATTTGAGCCAAATGACTAAAGGATTACAAACTGAAAACTGACTTTGAACATTTCTGGGAAGCTCATGAAAAAAGGTGGATGTGATAAATTCAAAGACAGAAAGAATCATTTTCAGGCTTGTTTACGTCTCTCCAGGTTGCATGAATGAAAACAGTTAACAGCTTTCTTTTCTTAGTCCAATTACCACCTGTTGTGCAATGCCTGATAAGGCCTTAACACGCCGTTGCTGGACGACCAGAGAACTGATTGACATTATTGAA